GTTAAGAAAATGACCTATGTGCCCAGCTAGTGTGCCTCAGTAGTTGAATGTCAACCTATGAACCAGGAAGTCACAGTTTGATTACAGTCAGGTCCAGGTTGCTAGGAAGCGTGCAGGAGGCAGCTGATCAATGATTCTCAACATTGATGTTTCTATTTCTCTCTCCCTCTCCCTTCCTGTCTGAAATCAATGAAAAAATATTTTTAATAAAAGAAAGGGACTGATAAAAGAATTCCCAATGATACCACAGTATAATGTAATAATGGATTTTTCAGAATCCTTAACAATATAGAATGAATGAAAAGCATCTAATATACACCGAGTGGCCAGATTATTATGCATTCAGAGATCATAATAATCTGGCCACTCAGTGTATATAGATTACTTCTGATTACTATTAAAAAAAAAATTTGCCCTGGCCTGTGTTTCTCATTAGTTACAGTGTCAGCCTGTGCACTGAGGGGTCACAGGTTTGATTCCTGGTCAGGGCACATACCTTGGTTGCAGGTTTTATTCACAGCACGGACCAGAGAGAGTGAGGCAGGCAACCAATTGATTTATCTCAAGACACGTTGTTTTTCTCTCTCTCCCTCCCTTGCTCTCCCCCTTCCACTCTTTCTAAAAGTCAATGGAAAAAACATCCTTGGGTGAGGATTAACAACAAAAACAACAAACCAAAAAGGGGGGATTTAATAGTACCAATAACCTAGAAGAATGGGTCATGTAAAAATCATATTTTAATTAGTTTTGGGATAGTGTTTGTCTCTATCTCTCTACCCAAGTATGTATGTGTTTACATGATAGCAAATTTATTTTCTTTTATTTCACCCCATCATTTAAAAAAAAATCTTTATTTTTCATATTATTAAAGATGTCCCTCTTTTTCCCCCCATAGCTCCCCTCTACCCGGTTCCCATTCCACCACAGGCCCTAGCCACCCCACTGTCCGCATCCATAGGTACTGCATACATGCATGTAAGATCTTTGTCCAATCTCTTCCTCACCTTCCTAAAATCCTTTCCCCTGAGAATTGTTTGTCTGCTCCATTTCCATGTCCGAATCTCTTACATTCACCAGTTTATTCTGTTCATCAAATTTTTTTATTCATTTGATTTTTAGATTCACTTGTTGATATATACGTATTTGTTGTCACTTTGTTGTTCATGGTTTTTTTTTTTTTTTTTTTTTTTTAATCTTTACCTTTTTCTTCCTCTTCTTAAAGAATACCCTTCAGCCTTTCATAAAATACTGGTTTGGTGGTGAACTCCTTTAGTTTTTTCTTGTTTTCATCTGACCTTCAATTCTAAACGATAGCTTTGCTAGGTAAAGTAATCTTGGTTGTAGTTTCTTGCTATTCATCATTTTGAATATTTCTTGCCACTCCCTCTGGCCTGCAAAGTTTCTGTTGAGAAATCAGCTGACAGTCGTATGGGTAATCCCTTGTAGGTAACTGTTTTTTCTCTTACTGCTTTTAAGATTCTCTCTTTGCATTTTGCCCTTGACATTTTAATTATGATGTGTCTTGGTGTGGTCCTCTTTGGATTCCTCTTGTTTGGAGTTCTCTGAGCTTTCAGGACTTGCAAGTCTATTTCTTTCACCAGGTGGAGTAAGTTTTCTGTCATTATTTCTTCAAATAGGTTTTCAATATTTTGCTCTCTCTCTTATTCTGGCACTCTCATTATTTGGATATTGGTACATTTAAGGTTGTCCCAGAGGCTCCTTACATGATCTTCATATTTTTGGATCCTTTTTTCTTTTTGCTCTTCTGGTTGGGTGTTTTCTTCTTCCTTGTATTTAAAATCATTGATTTGATTCTCAGAATCCTATAGTCTACTATTGAATCCCTGTATATTATTCTTTATTTCAGTCAATGTATATTTAATTTCTGACTGGTCCTTTTCCATTTTTTTTTTTTTTTTTACATTCTCACCAAGATCCTTGAAGGTCTTACTAGGTTCCTCCAATGTTTCTAGATGATTCTTGCGTAACCTTATAACTGTGGTTTTGAACTCTATATCCAGTAGTTTGCTTTCTTCCATTTCTTTCATTTGTGCCATGTTTCTTTGTCTCTGCATTTTGGCTGCAACCCTGTATTTATTTCTATGTATTGGTTAGTTGCTAAGTCTCCTTGAGTTGATAGAGTAATCGAAGTCCTGTGGGGCCCAGGGGATCAGCCTCCCCAATCACACTCTTGGTACACCCCTTTGTGAGTTGTGTGCACAGTCTTGTTATAGTTGAGCCTTGATTGCTGTTGATATCACTGGGAGGAATTGACCTCTGGGCCAATTGGCTGTGAGGACCAGATGTGTCTATAATGGAAGAGCTGCTGTGCAGGAAACACCCTTTTGGGGCAGGACTTGCTTCAATGGGGCTTTGGTGCTCACTGAACATGCCCCTTTAGCGTGTCGCTTATGGATGTGAAGAGTTGTAATCTGGTATGGTCTTGCACTGACCATTGGGAACACTGGCTCTTGAATCTCCAAGGAGGTGCAAAGTCTGCCACTGCCTGGGGCCACTCAGCAGGAGCTACAGAGAGATCTGCAGATTCCTCCTCTTTTTATCGGAAGTTCCCAGACGATGCCCAGCTATGAAGAAAGGCAGGCTGGTGTGACCTTGGGCCTTCTTTTGATAGCTTTGGCTCCCTGACCCAGCTGCAGCTTGTTTGACAGGTTTTAGACTGAGAAAGGACAGGCCATTCATATGCAAAAGTCACTGAGCACAGCTTGGATGGGGTTGTAAATTGGGTAGGGCGGGGGGGCTCAGGTAATCCCCAGGGTGGAGCAAACAGCAATAGTTACCAGTTAGCCCTGCACCAAGGAGGTCCCAGCACAGGAACAATGACCATTGCAAGCACCTCAGTCTGGAAGAAGGCTGCCCCTGCATTCCTGCCCCAATGCCAGACAGTCCAGTTTCTCCCCGTATGTGTCTGGGCTCCCCCAAGTCTCACCAGCACTGGAGCTCATAGCAAGCAGGAGCTTGCATCTTCCTCCTGATTAAAAAAGTGGCAGACTTGGGTGCCAGCCTATTCTGTGTCTCCGTACTTCTTACCAGTCTCAATGTACAACTACCTCTCTAGTTGTAGTACTTCCACTCAGCCATTTTTTCCATGGTTCTAGATGATAGTTGCTATGTATTTTAGCTGTAATTCTGATGTGGTTGTGGGACGCAACAAGTACAATTGTTTACCTATGCCATCATCTTGGTTCTCTCAGCAAATTTATTTTCTTAATTACATTTGGGCCACACTTTAGGAACTAATTTTCGTCTTAGTCTAGTTTTGATGTACTCAGGTTTGTAAAGAAAAGGCACTACAGTATATAAAACTGTTGTGAATAATCTATATATGGAGTACAATAAAGAGACTATGCTGAAGATATCAGTATTAGTCTATGTAACTATTTATAACCTCTCATATCTACTTGAGAAAATGAAGAAATATCTTACTGACTTGCCTTGTTATATCAGTGGTCAGCAAACTCATTAGTCAACAGAACCAAGTATCAACAGTACAATGATTGAAATTTCTTTTGAGAACCAAATTTTTTTAAACTTAAACTTCTTCTAATGCCACTTCTTCAAAATTGACTCGCCCAGGCCGTGATATTTTGTGGAAGAGTCATACTCAAGGGGCCAAAGAGCCGCATGCAGCTTGCGAGCCGCAGTTTTCAGACCACGGTGTTAGAGTATGAGCTATATAGTATATAATCCTAAACACTAAATTCATTCTGATGGAATCTCTAGCCCATAAGGTTTTGGAACAATTCAATTTTTAATTTCTTATAACTTTACCTTTAATCAATGTCAGATTGCTTTAATATAAGTCATCACAACATCTAGCTCCTCCTTTTTTGGTAAGGCTCTACCTTTCTGTGTTCCTTTAATCATACTCAGGGGGGTGGAAGGTAATAGATTTCTCATTTCCAACGGGATAGGCCTGGGTCTTCACAGTTTGTTTGTTCTTCTCTAGCAATTGCTTCTTCTCACAGCGCCCTTCAAAACCAAAGGTGGCAGGGGAATATCTAGTTGCAGGCAGTAAAAGTGGGATACTGTTTCTAGCAGACTGACAGCAATACCACTTACCACAGAGATTTTCCAATTGGCTTATTAAGCCATCATTTATTAATCAGTTTCTATTTCTGGATCTGGATTTGAAAGCTAAGGAGAGTGACTCAGGTGGCAAGAAGAAGAAGAACAATCAGAAAGCTATGATGGCCTGGCTGGCATGGCTCAGTGGTTGAGCATTGACCTATAAACCAGGAGGTCTTGGTTCGATTCCCTCTGAGGCCATATGCCTGAGTTTCAGGCTCGATCCCCCAGTGTGGGGCATGCAGGAGGTAGCCAATCAATAATTCTTTCTCATCACTGATGTCTCTCTTTCTCTCTCCCCCCTCCCCCCTTGTCCATTCCTTGCTGAAATACATAAAAATATATTTTAAAAAAAAGAAATATATGATCTATCTGCTGTAGGAGGGTCCTGCCTATGATCTTTCCTCCTTATACTAAGGAGACTAAAATTTCTCTCCTGTAGTCTCTTCAAAAAGAGGACTAATTTGATAACTTACAATTAATTGCTCTTTCCATTTCCACAGTTGTACTCAAATACTTGATTAATATTATTTGGAGGCAAAAAAATCATATTAACCAAAAACATCTAATGTACACTTTTTATGAGTATGCATAGCTGCTTTTTTAAAAATATATTTTTATTGATTTCAGAGAGAAATCTAAAACTAAATATCCTTAGTTTTAAGAGTAATAAGTATTTATTTACTAGATTATTTTCTCACTGACCACTTATAATTAACTATAGAAATTGGAAATTTATTATAGAAAGAAAATCCACTTCATAAGATTCCAAAGTATCTCCCAAATCAAATAGTTCAATAATGAAAAATAATATTTTTTAGTAACCAGAACTCAGACTGAAAACATTTTCAGCTTTCAAAGTCTTCACCTTGAACATAACAGTTCTAATGAACGGTAGCTATTTTGCTTCCCACCTCTTGGTTAAATAGTGTCATCTTCCTGAAGATATATGCAGTGTTTCCTTCTTCCGAGTGGCAGGTGACTTGGTAGCACCCATAGGATGAACTTCCTGTGGGATCTGGCCAATATTGGTGGCACTTCACCTAAAATCAATAGATTAAAAATATATTAAAAATTATAATATAACTTTCAAATTTACAGAAAAGTTACAAGAAAAATTTAATAAACTTTCATACATACTGCACCTAGTTCTGTCAATTATTAACATTTCTTTGTCATTTTTTTCTCTTTGTAATAATCTGTTTGGATATATTTTGACACTGCAAATATCCTGTATACAATAAGCTTTTATTCAATGTTTTACCATGTATGATGAATTCTTGCCTGAACCAACTATTACTATGAGAATGGCAAAATGCTGCACTAATTTTAATCTTTTTGGATTTAAGTTAACAATGAGAAAGAATCTTCAACTAAAATGCCAAATGCAATCCATTTATTTTCACAATTAGAATTAAAAACACACACACAGCTTTATTGATATAAAATTCACCCATTTAAAGTACACAATCCAGCTTCCAGTCAACAGGGCAGTATAGGTAAATGCTGTGCTCACTTCCTCCCATAACTACATCAAAATTACAACTAAACTACAAAACAACTTTCATTCAGAATTGCCTGAAGCCTAGCCGAACAAAAGTCAAATAACTAAGGATATACAGACATCATGTCTAGACTGGTAGGAGGGGCAGAGATGCAGAATGGGCTGGTACCACATCCACATGTAACAATTAAAAATCAAGAGGGAGCCGAAACTGCTTTGGCTCAGTGGATAGAGCGTTGGCCTGCGGACTGAAGGGTCCTGGGTTTGATTCTGATCAAGGGCATGTACCTTGTTTGCAGGCACATCCCCAGTGGGGACGGAGTGGGGGGGGAGGTGCAAGAGGCAGCTGATAGATGATTCTCTCTCATCAATGTTTCTAACTATCTCTCTCCCTTCCTCTCTGTAAAATATATTTTAAAACAATCAAGAGGGATATTGGGGCTATGGAGGGACCCCCTGAGGAGCAAGGGGTCTCAGTGCCACACCAAGCTCCTGACCAGTGTTTCAGTACTGGAAGAGAAGTCCCCTTAACTTTTGCCTGTAAAAACCAGCGGGGATTGTGGTTGAGTAAGACAGAGAAAGGGGTCCTGGGTTCGATTAAATTGGTAAATTGGCCTTATATAATAGGTGTCTTGTAGGGCCCTATAACACAGATTTCCCGATCATCCAAGCTGCTCCAGGTACGCTCCCATGTGGGCTAAGTACACCTTCCTGTTGTAGTTGAACCTTGATCCCTCTCTTTTAAAAATTTAAGTTGACTTAGTAATTTTTTCTATCACCAGGCGTTCCTCTTAAAGGGCCCACACAGGGACTTACCTGGACTCACAGAAACTTGAAAGGCACCAGGGACACACAGGGAAGAACTGAGTGGTCCAGTGAAGGCTGGCAGGGCAGTTTTCTCCCAGGTAGAAGTGCTGGCAGAGACCCTCGTTTCTTTACTGAGCCTTCCCTCCATAGAGCCAGAAGGTGGTGCCATATCTGAGTCTCCATCCATCTGGCTAACACTGTTGTGACTCTATGAGACCACCCCACCCAACTTGTGGGCCCACCCAATCTCTTTCCAGTGCCTTTTCCATATAAACAAATTTCCCAAAATCTCTCAAATAAGCAGCATCTGGCCTCAGTGTGCCCCTCTTGCTAAGTGGCATTAGTCCTGGCACTAGAGGCAGCTTGCCTTGGTTAGCAGCTTGGCCTCTCCTGGGCACCTCTAAACTCAGGACAAGTAGTAGCCACCTGCAAATCACTTTGTGCTCAGGTCTGGTGACCCTAGGCAGGGCATAGTCTGCACCAGGTGAATAGCTTCAGAAAACGTCAAAGCACCACCCACCCAACTACCTTCACAAGTAACACACTCAAGGTGTGGACCCAGCAGGCATCAGAGCCCTACTGTAAAGACTGGTCTGTGGGGTCTGCCCCTGCACAGCTGATCCTGCAAGTTGGTCAGAGTGAGTCCTTGCAGCCAAGTGGTTTGGGCATAGATCCTCTGAGGTGCCAACAGCAATCAAGATTCAACTACAACAGGAGAGTGTACTTAGCCCACATGGGAGCGTACCTGGAGCAGCTTGGATGATCGGGAAATCTGTGTTATAGGGCCCTATAAGACACCTATTACATAAGGCCAATTTACCAAGCCTGGGAGACATAACAGCCCGACTTGTTACATAGAAAAAAACACAGGGAGGCAGCCAAAATGAGGATATAAAGGAACATGTCCCAAATGAAAAACAGAATAAAACTCCAGAAAGAGAACTAAACAAAATGGAGACAATTTGTTGGAAGTAGAGTTCAAACACTGGCTATAAGGGGGCTTAATGAACTTAGTGAGGACTTCAACAAATGGATAGGAAATATAAAACAGAGATAAAAAACACACACACATAAAAATGGAGATAGAAAACAGAAAAAAGCACTAATCAGAAATGAAGAATATAATAAATGAATTAAAAAATACATTACAGGGGCCTCTGGCAGGTAGCTCAATTGGTCATCCTGATATGCCAAGGTTGATCCTGGTCATGGCACATACAGGAATCAACCAATGAATGTATAAATGAATGGTACAACAAATCAATGTTTCTCTTTCTCTTCCTCTCTCTAAAATCAATCAATCAATCAATCAATCAATCAATAAAAATAAAAAGAATACATTACAGGGAACCAACAGGAGAGGACAGATAAAGCAGAGGATCAAATCAGTGATTATTACGCAGATAAGGAAGCAAGAAAACACCCAATCAGAACATAAAGGGGGGGGGGGGGGATCCAAAAAACGAGGATAGTATAAGAAGTCTCTGGGACAACTTCAAGCATACCAACATTGCTAAATTAGACCTGCTTTCTGATTTAAACTTTTACCAGGAGAAGAGGAAGAGCAAGAACTTGAAACCTATTTGAAAAAAAAATAACAGAAAACTACCATAACCCAATGAAGGAAGCAGATGTACAAATCTGGGAAGCCCAGCCAGAGAGTTACATACAAGATGAACCCAAGGAGGCCCCCACCAAGAGACACCATTAAAATGCCAAAGGTTGCCCTGGCTGCTGTGGCTCGGTTGGTTGGAGTTAGTCCTATATACCAAGAGGTTGTGGTTTCAATCCCTGGTAGAGGTATGTGCGGGGAGGGGGGACGTGGAGGGAAGTGGAGGTAACGAATTGATGTTTCTTTCTCACATTGATGTTTCTTGCTCTCTCTCTCTCTCTCTCTCTCTCTCTCTCTCTCTCTCTCTTTCTCTCTCTTCAGTAACAACAATAACAAAAAAGCTAAAGGTTGAAGACAAAGAGAGATTCTTAAAAGCAGCATGAGTCAAGTAATTAGTTATTTACAAGGGGGTTCCCATAAGACTGTCAGGTGATTTCTTTGGGGGAATGGGTAAAATAAGTGAAGGGATTAAGAAGTACAAATTGATAGTTACAGAATAGTCATAGGCATGTAAAGTAGAGCATAAGAATATAGTCAATAGTACTGTAATAACTATGTATGGTGTCAGACGGGTAATAGAATTATTTGGTTGATCACTTCGTAAGTTAAATAAAATGTCTAATCACTGGTTTGTACACCTGCATCTAATATAATATTGTACACCAACTGTAACTGAAAATTTTTTTTTAAAGTACACAATTCAATTGTTTTTAATATATTCACAGAGCTGTGCAACCATCACCACAACCACTTCATCACTCCCAAAAGAAATCCCATACCCATTAGTAACCACTGTGCATTCATTCTTCTATCCCACTCCTCTTACCCAACTCCAGACTCAGACAAGCACTAATCTACTTTCTGTCCTCTATGGATGTAAAGGTTAGAAAAAAAAAAAAAGGCTAAATCAATGTGAACATTTTGACTATAAATATATGCAATGTAATTTGAATAAGGTTCAAGCAATGTGTAAGATTCAAGTATGACTTACTCTGCCACGTTCAACTTGTGTGGTCAACATTACAACCATGGAGGAGCCTTGTTCCCACGTCATCTGCCAAAAATCTGTACAAGTGTGTGGTAATGGCCCTTGACAAGCAATGTACTGATTTATAATGCTAGAAGAAGGAATTTCCATCTTAAAAGAAAAAGATACAAAAATAAAATATTTTATATTAACACTTTTTACTATTATCAAGCATATGAAAATCATCCACAAAATAACTGAATGCAACTAATCTCAATAAACTGCAAAGTCAGTATAACAAATTGTAAAATAAAAATTTTTTTTTTAAAATCTTCACCTGAGGACATGCTTAAAGAGAGGAAGGAAGAAAGGGAGGGAAGGAGAGGCGCAGGGGGGGAGGGGGGCCGCACAGGTAGAGAAGGGTGGGGAGAGAGAGGAGAAGAGAGGAGAGGAGAGGAGAGGAGAGGAGAGGGAGGGAGGGAGGGAGGGAGGGAGGGAGGGAGAGAGAGAGAGAGAGAGAGAGAGAGAGAGAGAGAGAGAGAGAGAGAGAGAGAGAGAAATATCAATTGGTTGTCTTGCGTGCCCTAACTGAAGATGGAACCCAGAACCTGGGTATATGCCTTGACCAGGAATTGAGCTGGCAACCTTTCAGTGCACAGTATGATACTCAACCAATTGAGTCACTCCAGCTAGGAAACACAACAAATCTTTATCAACACTTTATTTTTCATGTAGAAGAAATTTTTTGGCAATAGCCAATCCTATCTAATAAAAGAGTAATATGCAAATTGAACGTACCTTCACTACACACACAAGCCATGCCCACCAGCCAATCAGGAGCAAATATGCAAATAAACCCAACCAAGATGGCTGTGGCCACAGAAAGCAGGAGGGAGGCTTGAGTTTCCCTGGCAATGGAGGAAGCCAAGCTTTATGCCTGCCCTTGCTGGCCTAGACCTCCACTCAAGGCTACAAAGTTTCAATTACAGAAGGTAAATAAATTCCAATAGAAATGGTGCAAGCCACAGAACTGGAAGAGAAAGAGGCTAGGGTTGCCCCCTGCAATGGAGGAAGCCAAGTTTTTCACCCACCCTGGCCAGCTCAGGCCTTCACTTAAGGCTACAAAGTTTTATTTATAGAAGAATAATAAATTCCAACAGAAATGGCTGCCGCCACAGAGTAAGCAGGAGGCTTAGCTCCGCTCCAGGCTACAAAGTTTCAATTGTAGAAGATAAAATAAACCCCAGATACTAGGGCCTCCACTTGTGTTGCCAGGGGGGGTGGGCAACCTGCAAACCACCACAGGCCCCTTGCCCAGGCCACCCCATGCCCCAAGGGATTCCCCACCCTGATCCAGGCCTCTATCCTATCTAATAAAAGAGTAACATGCAGATTGACCGTCACTCCAACACACAAGTTGACTGCCCCCATGTGGCCAAAGATCCTGCCCCTATGTGGACACAAGATAGCCACGACAAGATAGCCAGCATAGGAGGGCAGTTGGGGGTGATCAAGCCTTCAGGAGAGGGAAGTTAGGGTGACTAAACCGACAGAGGAGGGAAGTTAGGGGCAAACAGGATGGCAGAGGAGCAGTTAGGCATCAATCAGGCTGGCAGGGGAGTGGTTAGGGGGTGATCGGTTGGCAGGCAGAAGTGGTTAGGAGCAATCAGGAAGGCAGGAAGGTGAGCAGTTGGGAGCCAGCAATCCCAGTGGGATCGAGCCTAAATGGGCAGTTGGACATATCTTGAGAGGTCACAGACTGGAGAGGGTGCAGGCTGGGCTGAGGAACACCCTCCACTCTGTGCATGAATTTTGTGCACTGGGCCTCTAGTATGTATGTGTGTGTGTGTGTGTGTGTGTGTGTATGTGTATGTGTGTGTGGAATATCTAAATTCTAATTAGTAGAGATAGAAATCCAAGAATTTTTTAAAGCTGTTATGGTTTTAAGAGAAGTTTTACAGAGAACCCACTTTCAGAGGCAGAGACTTGGTCTCTAAACACTTACTGGTAAAATTTGTGAGGAGAAAAAGTTCTGCCACTTTCGTTTACATCCTACCTAATAATAGAGTAATATGCAAATTAACCATCATTCTGCTACACCCACCAGCCACGCCCACCAGCCAATCAGAGTGAGTATGCAAATTAACCCAACAAAGATAGCAGTTAATTTGCACACACGGAGGGAGGGAGGAGTGAAGACTGAAGACAGCATAGAAGGAAGAGGGAGGGACTCCAGCTGCTGGAGGGAAAGCACTGGCAGTGCGTGCGGGGCAGGGAGAGAAGTGCAGGGCCGCAGAGGTGGTGGAGGCGGCGAGAGGCAGCAGGTTGGGTGGGCGGGGCAAGGCACGCAGCGGTGGTGGCAGCAAGTGGCCGCAGAGATGATGGCGGTGGTGGCGGTGGTTACGGTGAGGGGGTGGAGGACGGGGGAGGAAGGTGCTCTGTAGTGGGAGAGGTGGGGAGGGGGGATAGGAAAGGTGGTGGTGGCGGGAGGAAAGCCTGCCAGAAGTCTTACATTAATATTCCTGCAACAATGTAGCAGGATACAAAATTAACACCAAGAAATCCATGGCATTCTATACACCAACAGTGAAACTACAGAAACAGAGACTAAAAAAGCAAATTCCATTTACCATTGCACCAAAAAAATTAAGATAACTAGGAATAAACTTAACTAAGGAAGTAAAGGACCTATATGCGGAAAACTACACAACACTGAAAAAAGAGATAGAGGAAGATGTAAACAGATGGAAGAACATATCATGTTCATGAACAGTAGAATTAACATCATCAAAATGTCCATACTTCCTAAAGCAATCTATAGGTTCAATGCACTCCCCATTAAAATACCAACGGCATATTTCACTGACCTAGAAAGAACTCAACAAAAGTTCATTTGGAATAATAAAAGACACCGAATAGCCACAGCAATCCTGAGAAAGAAGAGTAAAGTAGGAGGGATCTCAATACCAGACTTCAAGCTGTATTACAAAGCCACGGTTCTCAATACAGCCTGGTACTGGCACAAGAACAGATATATAGATCAATGGAATCGAATTGAGAACCCAGATATCAATCCAAATCACTATGCTCAATTAATATTTGACAAAGGAGGCATGAACATACAATGGAGTCAAGACAGTCTCTTCAATAAATGGTGTTGGGAAAATTGGACAGATACATGCAAAAGAATGAAACTAGATCACTAACTTACACCATACACAAAATAAACTCAAAATGGATACAGGACTTAAACATAAGATGGAAAATCATAAAAATACTAGAAGCATCCACAGGCAGCAAAATCTCAGGCATATGCCAAAAGAACTTCTTCATTGATACTGCTACTGCCCCTAGGGCAATGGAAGCTAAAGAGAAAATAAACAAATGGGACTACATCAAAATAAAAAGCTTTTTTACAGCAAAAGAAACCATCAACAAAGGAACAAGAAAGCCCACTGTGTGGGAGAACATATTTACAAATGTTACCACTGATAAAGATTTAATCTCCAACATCTACAGACAGCTTATACAACTAAATAAAAGGAAGATCAATGACCCAATTAAAAAATGGGCAATAGACCTAAATAGAATATTTTCAAAAGAAGACAGAAAGAAGGCCAAAAGGCACATAAAAACATGCTCAAAGTCACTAATTATCCGAGAGATGAAAATCAAAACAACACCGCAGTACCATCTCACACCTGTCAGAATGGCCAACATCAACAAATCAACAACGACAAGTATTGGCAAGGTTGCGGAGAAAAAGGAACCCTTGTGCACTGCTGGTGGGAATGCAGACTGGTGCAACCACTGTGGAGAACAGTGTGGAGTTTCCTCAAAAAACTGAAAATGGAACTCCCATTTGACCCAGTAATCCCACTCTTAGGAATATATCCCAAGAAACTAGAAACACCAATCAGAAAGGATATATACACCCCTATGTTCATAGCAGCACAATCTATTGTACAATAGCTAGAATTTGTAAACAGCCTAGGTGCCCGTCAGCAGATGATTGGATCCAAAAACTATGATACATCTACACAATGGAATACTATGCTGCCATCATTTGCAGCAACCTGGATGGAATTGGAGAACATCATGCTGAGTGAAATAAGCCAGTCAATGAAAGAGAAACACCACATGACCTCTCTCATTTATGGATAATAAAGAACATTATAGACTGATGAACCAAAAGATAGATATAGAGACAGTAAAACAACAAGCAGACTGTCGAATTACAGCGGGGAGGGCAGGGAGATCTGGGGGAGATAATAGATCAACCGAAGGACTTGTACGTATGCATATAAATACAACCAATGGACACAAAACTCTGGGGAGGAAGGGTATGTATGGAGGGTGGAGGGCAATGTTAAAATATGTATACAGACAATAATTTAATAAAAAAAATGTAAAAAAATAATAATATTCCTGCAACAGGTCACTAGTTTTATATAATATTCTAGAGACCTGATGCATGAATTCCTGCACACTGAAAGGAAATTAATTAGAAGAAATATTTTAATATTGCTATTCATCCTTTCTCTATAATAAAAGTGTCAACCAAATTTACGATTGACAATGACAAATCAAAGCACACACATGCAATTGGCGCCAAAAATAGCTTTACATATAGAGATAAACTTGCTTAATTAGGCCTGCTTTCTGATTTAACTAAACTTTTTCCAGCCCAGCGAAGCACCCCTAACTTCTCTTTCAGGTAATTATCAGCAACACAGCAGTAAATATCAACATGAAGCTTATTATTATTGTAGATCAAGCAGAGAGAACAAAGGGCGAAATATCTAACTATAGGAGTGTTTGACTATATTCTGCTCAGTGAGAAAATCTGAAATCATTTTCAAGGTCCACCATTTCTTACTTCTTTTCAGTCAGGTTAAGTTTTTAAACTTTCTAAATTTCTGTTTTCCAGCTAATGAAAAGAAAATAGGATTCCACTAAGTCTGCTATCTACCTACTTCATGACTTCTGTGAGGATCAAATGAGATGAGGCATAGAAAACTGCTTCACAGACATTTGGTTAAAATGTAAAATGTTCCACCTGGCTATAAAGCAAGTCATGTTCCTGGGCTGAAGAAACTCCAAGGAGGTTTGTCACCAGGGGTAGAAAGCTGGGCATTGCTACATGATGTCATTACCTGGTGCCTACAGCC